GGGTTCATTATAAAACACTAGAGGAGCAGAAGAGGGACAGAGGCGACCGCGGCGGCCATCTTGTGATTGTAGAAAGAAAAAAAAAAAAAAAAAAAAAAAAACAGAGTTGATTAAATCGATCACATTTTTATGTAATTGTATATATTTGGTTCTAATTAAATGTAGCAGTGTAGTGAAAAGAGTTCGCTACCTGTTTTATCCGAAAATGTTTTCTCCTCAATAAGAAAGTGTTAATGTTACTGTTGGTAATTATGGCGGAACCAAAAGTCATGTTTCACTTTTTCTACATATTTTACATTTTGTGATCTATCAGTGGATCTAAATAAAAATCAAATACATAAAATTATAAATAAATAAAATAAACACGTTTTTATAGTTGTACGGGTTGTACGGTCTTTTTACCACGTCAAGAAGAAAATGCAACAGCCGCAGTGCGTCCTCTAGGGGCCGTTAGTGTGTACTACATCTTTAATCTAATTTAAAAAAAAAAAAAAAAAAACTGATTTAATTAAAACATTTAAGAATAACGAGGACTTTAATCAATAGTGACAGTATATTTTTTTATTTTGGTCGAGTTTTAAATGGCAAATATAAACGTTTATTTGGATTTTAACGACATTTTGACGCATGCGCAGTAGACATTTTCGCCACAGGTTTTTTTTTTATTTTTTATTTTATTTTTATTTTTATTTTATTTTAATAACTTAAAACCAAAACTAACGGACATACATGTAAACTTAAATTAAGTCAGATATTATACGTAGAAAGAAATCAACACAATAAAACCGAAGAAGTGGTTAAAAAAAAAAATCCTAATTCTTCTGTAATATTGAGTGTTTTGATAGATTAAAAGTTAAAAATACTGTTTAGTGTTTGAAGATAATTCTTAATGTCGAGGATATTGATTTTAAGTAAAAGTCTTTTATCGAATGCACAGGTTTATTAAATATTCAGTTTTATATCGTTTATGACGGACACTTCCGCCGCAGATCGTGCAGATACAGTTGCCATAGTTACCGCACCAAAAGCTCCTCTAAATTTATTGTAACGCTTCGCCGGGCCCGTGCGGAGCTGTGAGCGCCCCGTGCGCGCCCCCTGCCGCTGTGGAGGAGAAGTGTCCGCGCTCCTGCAGGCGGAAGTGTTCGTGCAGCGGCTCGTGGACGCGCGGAGTGTCACTCTGGAGTCTGTTGAATTTGACAAAGTCTCGTGTTTTTGGAGGAGTCATCATCATCATCATCATCATCATCATCATCATCATCAGCAGCAGCAGCAGGCGGCGGCGGCGGCGGCGGCTCCGCGTGGACGTGACAAAACCGCAGCTCTGACATGAGGCGGCGGCGCGAGCTCCTCATCACAACCAGGAAGGAAGCGCGTGTCCGGCTCTGCAGCTCCTCATCTCTGCACACACACTCTGCACACACACTCTGCACACACACTCTGCACACACACTCTGCACACACACTCTGCACACACACTCTGCACACACACATCTGCATTAGTGCTCGGGTTCGGACATGAGAGCCGCCGCGCTGCTTCTGGTTCTGGTTCTGGTTCTGTTCTCGCTGTGGCCGCGGGTCCGCGGGACTCTGTCCAAAACCGACGCCAAGAAAAGTCACAAAGTTGAAGTTGAGGTAAGAGAATTATTCCAAACAAACCCTAACCCTGAAGCGCTGGTGTGAGTGTGGAGCGCTCCCTCTGAGCCGCTGCTCTTGTGGCTGCAGAGCTCCCCCTCCGAGCTGCTGGTGCTGGAGCGGGGGCTGGTCGTGTCGGATCCTCACTGGAGGGAGATCGTGAAGGAGGAGAAGAGATATACTGCGCCCACATCAGGAAAAGCTTCAGCGGACACGTGCTGGGATACGTCACACCGGTGAGAAGAAACACACACACCAAACACTCTGTGCTTTAAAGTTTCACTGGGGAACTTTTCTGGTGCAGGTCTGGAATGTTCCATTAAATGTGTTTATGAGTCCAGTTTGACTTATTGCTCAAGAAGAACCTTGAGCTCCAATCATGCAGCGCCCCCCCCCCTCAGGTTCAGTCCTGGTCTGGTCCTGGTTCAGTCCTGGTCTGGTCCTGGTCTGGTCCTGGTCTGGTCCTGGTCTGGTTCAGTCCTGGTTCAGTCCTGGTTCAGTCTGGTCCTGGTCTGGTCCTGGTCTGGTCCAGGTTCAGTCCTGGTCTGGGTCTGGTCCTGGTCCTGGTCCTGGTCCTGGTCAGTCGGTCCTGGTCTGGTCCTGGTTCAGTCCTGGTCTGGTCTGGTCCTGGTTCAGTCCTGGTCTGGTCTGGTCTGGTCTGGTCAGGTCCTGGTTCAGTCCTGGTTGGTCAGGTTCAGTCTGGTCTGGTCTGGTCTGGTCCTGGTTCAGTCCTGGTTCAGTCCTGGTCTGGTCCTGGTCTGGTCAGTCCTGGTCGGTCTGGTCAGTGGTCTGGTCTGGTCCTGGTCTGGTCCTGGTTCAGTCCTGGTTTGGTCCAGGTTCAGTCCTGGTCTGGTCCTGGTCTGGTCGTG